CTTCACTGCCATCCTCTCCCCTGAGCTTTCCAACCACGGTGGGCAGGGATGAAATGATCAGTTCCACTACTGGGTGGGGGAGGGGGACTGAGGCCCAGAGAGGGTAAGGGATTTGCCCAAGGTCACACAGCAACTTTGTGGCAGAGCCATGGCTTCTGTCAAGCTCAGTCACCATCATTGGTTCATTTACCAAGCATTCACCGTGTACCAGGCATTGTGCCGAGATTCTTTCTTATATTTTTCATGTGATCCTTAGCCCAACTCTTTGAGATCATTGGCTTCCTGTTAGAGATGAGGAAGCTGAGGCTTATATTCGTGAATAAATGAGCGCTTACTCTACACCAGGTATGGCAGGAACAATGGTAAGATAAAGCCCCTGGTTTCCCAGAGCTGTTGTTCTGGTGGCAGAGGCTGACAGACTTATAAACACAAAAACATTTTAAAATTGTGTATTGAACAGTGCTGAGAGGTAAAAAGATTTGACCCCAAACAGCATGCACTAGAGGCAGGTGAGACCCAGCCTGATGGGTCTGAGGTCAGGGCCCAGTGTTTGTTTATCTCTGTGCTCGCCTACCTTCCATTCTATCATAATAAATTGTGGTAAATTGGCTTTTCCTTTTGGGGCCCAGAACTCTGGTTTGTCCTGCCCGGGTCTGCAGTGGTGGTTCTTCAAGGTGAGGGGAGGAAAGTAGCTGAGCTGTCCTCAGCTCTGAACTATCTCATTTCTCCTTTCAGGATCAAGCACCCCAACATTGTAGCCCTGAATGACATCTATGAGAGTGGGGGTCACCTCTACCTCATCATGCAGCTGTGAGTGGCTTCACCCCTTGCTCACACCTCTCCCTGCTGCCCCTCCCTAGCCTCTGTGGCCAGACTGCCCTGTCCCCCGGCTGCAGGGTGTCCGGCGGGGAGCTGTTTGACCGCATTGTGGAGAAAGGCTTCTACACGGAGCGGGACGCCAGCCGCCTCATCTTCCAGGTGCTGGATGCCGTCAAGTACCTACATGATCTGGGCATTGTACACCGAGACCTCAAGGTGGGCTGGGAGGGTGTGTGGTGAGCTGCGGTGCCAGGTGGGGCCTCCACAAACCCCTCACTGTACAGCCTGGGGCAACTCTTAGCCCTTCCCTGAGCTCTGGCCTCCCATCTGCAAAATATACCCAGTAAACCCTAAACTGCCTCCTCCCCTTCCCCTTCCAGTCTGGACACTCAAATGGATACAGAGGTGAATGGTGCTGGTATTTAATCCATAAACATCTAGGTCTTTTTCTCATAATAAAAGCCCCCCTGCTCTTTGTGGAAAACTTGGAGGGGACAGCGAAACATGAAGAAGGAAGCCAGAAACCCCTGAAATCCTACACCTCAGAGACTATGATGGATTCACATTTTGTACTACAACTCCTTCGGTCTAGAAAAGCGCTGGGGTGAGACAGATCTGGGCTTGAATTCTGTCCCTAGATTCTCAGGCAAGTCACTTTGCCTCTCAAGCCATCAGTTTTCTCATCTATAATGTGGGATTTTTCAGACTGGCCTGACAGGCATGTGGTAAGGATAAAATGAAAGCAAGCATTAGCACAGGATCTGGCACACAGTAGGTGCTCAAAAATTCTTTAGGGCTTCACAATATAAACGTGAAGTTTATAGAAGATTCCCTTTCACATTCCCAAGGCTCTTGTCCTTACTTTTAACCTTCTTAAGAACTTCCTTGAGTTTCATGTCCCTTCAACCAAGATGGCAGCCGTGAAGCCCAGGGGCTTTTGTGAGGCTCCAGTTTCTGAGAGGTGGTGCTTGGGGAAGCAGAAGGTTCTGCCAGCCTCTGGCTATCTCTGCCTCTTCCTTTCCCTCCCCCTTCCAAGCCAGAGAATCTGTTGTACTACAGCCTGGATGAAGACTCCAAGATCATGATCTCCGATTTTGGTCTCTCCAAGATGGAGGACCCTGGCAGTGTGCTCTCCACAGCCTGTGGAACCCCAGGATACGTGGGTATGGAGCATCCTGGGCTGGGGCCATGGGTAGGGGAGGAATTGGGAGCTGCAGGGCAGAGATTTGTCACCACCATGTCCCTTTCCCTCCATAGCCCCTGAGGTTCTGGCCCAGAAGCCCTACAGCAAGGCCGTGGATTGCTGGTCCATTGGGGTCATCGCCTACATTCTGTGAGTGGGGGCTTGGCCCTTGGGGCATGTGGCTCTAGTGTTCTCCTCTCCCCTACTTTGCTCTCTTCCTCCTCTCTGCTATTTCTACCTTCCTGCCATCCATGTTTATATCTACCAACTAATGAGTAAGATTACTTCATTCAATACATGCCATGTTTCTGGCACTATGCTAAGCACTGGGGATTTAGCAGAGAACAAAACAAAATGCCTGCCCTGAGGGAGCAAAAACTCTAGTAGGGGAGATAGATAATAAACAAGTAAATAAATCCATAAAATAATGTCAGGTAGTAAACAACTATGAAGAAAAATCATGCAGGGCAGGGAGAAGGGGATGGATGCCATTTTAGATAAGGAGGTCAGGAAAGTCCTTTCTTAGGTGACATTTGAATAGCCTTCTAAATGAAGTGAGGGAGCCAGACATTTGAGGTGTGGGGGAAGAATGGTTTAGGCAGAAGGAACAGCAAGTATAAAGGCCCTGAGGAAGGAAAGATGGTAGCAAATTAAGAAACAGAAAGGCTGGACAGGAATGAAAAAAATCAGAGAGGGGCAGATTTCCCCTCTTTGTAAAAGGGGGAACTCCTTCCTGTGGGTGCTGCCTGACCCGAGACTGCCCCAAAGCTCCATCCTGGAGCCAATGGGTGCACTGAAAGTGGATATGAGGATGAGTTTCTCCCTGCCCAGGCTCTGCGGTTACCCCCCCTTCTATGACGAGAATGATGCCAAACTCTTTGAACAGATTTTGAAGGCCGAGTACGAGTTTGACTCTCCTTACTGGGACGACATCTCTGACTCTGGTATTTGAGGCTTTGCCTTCTTCCCCTGGGCCCTACCTCTGGTGCCTTTCACATCTGCTTTGGGGTCTCTTCACTGCCTGCCTGTCGTCAGATTCCCGAGCCCCAAACTAAGAGCTGTCTTTAAGATCAGACATCCCACCCCAGGTGCTTCCCTCTGCCTGGCCCCTGGTCTGAGAAGCTTGGAGGCATGCGTTCATTCAGCCTTCAAAAATAGCATTTTTGAAAATACCTCATCCATTGACTTCCTGTCACCTAAAACACCATCATAAAGGTTTTCATCTGTCCTTTTGTGCCTCCTATTAGGAGGCAAACTTGTGAAGCCATGATCAGTCACTTCTACATCAGTGTGAATACACTGAGTAGAATCTTTAAGAACAAGTTTTTCATAAGGGAAAAAGGAGAGAGCTGGAAGAGCTGTGGTGGGCAGGGGGCTTAAAGAAAGAGTACAGGTGGGGTTGGGTGGTGCATGGACAGATCTGGCCTCTTGTCTTGCTGAACTGCCAAGCCAGACCTGAGGGGGTGGGCTTTGTCTTGGGGGTGTCCACAGACACCACCATGCTGTTTTTGTCTTTGCTCTTGTCTTGGGGGCTCAGCCAAAGACTTCATCCGACACTTGATGGAGAAAGATCCAGAAAAGAGGTTCACCTGTGAACAAGCCTTGCAGCACCCGTGGTGAGAGCTCCCACAAGCTGCAAGCTGGGGTGGGCTCTGGGGGTCTCAAGCCTACCTCTGCCTTCACAGACAACCCTCCACACACCCCATCCTAGGATTGCAGGAGATACGGCTCTAGATAAGAATATTCACCAGTCGGTGAGCGAGCAGATCAAGAAGAACTTTGCCAAGAGCAAATGGAAGGTGAGCGCACGTTCCTAATCCTGGATCCCAGCCTCCCCAGGCCTCCTCCCCACCCTACTCCAGACCTCAGATCCCATACCATCTAGCATCAAGTCAAGCACACAGTAACTGCTCAGGGATGCTTACTAAAGAACCTCGTTCATTCATTCACTCATTCATTCAATGCTCCCTGACACCTACTCTATTCCAGTGAGAGGCCCTGACCTCCAGGTCTAGAGGGAGAACAGTATAACTCTTAGGGACACCTGCTCCAATCTATGGGGTCCTAGAAGGGGCGTAGGGGTGCTGATGGCCTGACAGACCTATCAGACTTGACAGCTGAGTAGGAATTAGCCAGGTACAGCAGAATCATGTCTGAGGCAGAGGGAACTGGCATACCAAGGGCCAGGGGCAAGAGAGAGAGAATGTGGCCATTCAGGGAAGGGCAAGTGTTCAGTAAGCCCGAATGGACTCGAGGAGCTGTGAGAGCAGGAGCCCAGGTTGGAAATGCAGGTAGAGGCCTCAAGTGCCACACTAGAGAACAGACTCAGCCCTGAAGATACTGGGGAGGCCCCAGAAGGATTTTCAGCAGTAACCTGCCTTCCAGAAAGGGCTCTTAGGGTGCAGAGAGAGGCACGGACTCATGGCTGGGAGGCCGCAGCAGAGATGTGGGCAGGAGATGGTGAGGGCTTAGACCACAGAACAGGGGATGGCTCAGGAGTGCTTTAGGAGGTAGAACTGACAAGACGTGATGGTAGGAGAGATGTCGGCAGAGAGAGATGTTAAGGGCTGGCCCAATATTTTGGTTGGGGAAATGGTGAATGGTGGTACTATCACTGAGATGGGGAATCCCAGGCATATACACTTGTCTTGGTGGGGGATGATTTTGGTTTTGGACATGGTGATATGAGGGATGTGCGGAACACCTTGGTGGGTATGTTAAATGGAGAATGATACACATACATGTGGGCAAGTTATTCAACCTCCCTCTGCCTCAGTTTTCTCCGGTAGTAATGGTGACACTAACAGTGCTCACCTCAAAGACCTTTGTGAAGATTAAATGCATTGCTAAATAAAGTGCTTAGAATAGTGCCTGACACATAATGCTATATTAAGTGTTTGCAATGATGTGAATAGAAATTAATTATACATATAGGGTTATATATACTTGTTCACATATACACATTTTATATATATGCACGTATGTCTGCATAAATATATAATATGGCTGGGTGTCATTTAATAAAGTCCTGTAGAGGTTTCAGGGGCTTTAGGCGATCATCCAGTAACACCTGAATGAAAATAACAAAACCACTGCAAGAATCCCACCACTAGACCCTGTCACATGATATCCCACTCTCAGAAGTCCCTTCTCCTCCTTCTCCCCACAGCAAGCGTTCAATGCCACGGCCGTGGTGCGGCACATGAGGAAGCTCCAGCTGGGCACCAGCCAGGAGGGGCAGGGACCAACAGCGAGCCACGGGGAGCTGCTGACACCGGCAGCTGGGGGTGAGGACCTGTCCTCTGTGGAAGGGCGTGAGTGGTCCATGAAGAGGCAGTCAGGCTGGAGTGATGGTCTGCTATGGCCAACTCGGTTCTCTCTCCCCATGTAGGGCCTGCGGCTGGCTGCTGCTGTCGAGACGGCTGCGTGGAGCCAGGCCCAGAACTGTCCCCTCCATTGCCCCCACAGCTCTAGGGCCCCAGATCCAGGGTCCAAACCCCTTGTGTGGGAGGCATTGGGGCAGCCTGCTCCCCTTCCCTCCCTGAATTGGAGAGTTACCCTGCCCTGCCACCTCCCCACCCCTTTCCCTATCACTCCTCCACTGCATTTTCCATACAAATGTTTCTATTTTATTGTTCTTTCTTGTAATAAAGGGAAGAGATAAAAACGTAGGTAGCTCTGTCTCTCCAGATAATCCCCACCCCAAATTGCTGTGCAAATTACTGAATCTCAGAGTACCTGGCCCCTGAGGTAGTTGCAGGAAGCCCCCTTCCCAATGCAAGACGGGATGGGGGACAGCAGTGGGGAAAACTACCTGGGAACCCCATTGTCCAGTGCCCCCCACCTAGACTTCTGGGTCTGTAGATCTCCTGCGCTTTGCTGGTGGCTCCTGAGCTCGGTGGGGTTGGCGCAGGTCAGCACTGAAGAGTACCTGGGGGCAGCGGGGAGATCACTCTGGGGGGTCAGGGTACATGGAGTCAGGGCTGGTGGAGCTGGTGGCAGTGTGGAGAGGTATAAGAGTTCACGGGGAGCAGGGGCAGGGCAAGGGGCACCCACTGGTCAGGGCTGGGGTGGGTGAAGAGTCCTGTAGGACCACCTGGAATGGCGGTGGTGGTGGAGGAATCGACTGGGTCAGGGCTTGGGTGAGGGTCGGGGAGAGTCCTAAGGGGTCTGGGCCAGAGGAGGAGGAGGAGGGGAAGCTACAGTACACTTACTGCTTGGGCCCAGCCAGCATAAGGTCCCCACAGGCTCCGGAAAAAGTTTCCTATGCCAGAAGTGATAAGGTGAAATTAATTGGCCCTCCTATTCCCTATCTACAGGAGAGGGATTTTATGGAGAGGGGGGAGAAGTTTCTACCACCTCAGCCCACTATCGGCTCCAGCATCCCCCTCTCTCCTTACCCAGTTCCTTGTTAGCCTGGGGGCTTGGACCCTTGGCCTGAGATGTGGTGGGGTGCCAGCTATAGTCACGCTGGGCGATCTGCCACATGTGGACATCTATAGGCACGGCCTGGGGCTTGTCTAGGGCCATCAAGCAGATGCAGTCAGCCACCTTTGAAAGAAAAAGAATGAGCCACAGAGGAGGAAGGGCAGGATCCAGCCAGCAGTCTGCTTCTGGTCCCAAAAGCTGGCTGTTTTCTTCTCCACTCTGAGGTTACTATTATTTTCTATTCTCCATCAATATACAGCTTCTTGTAATAACTTTAAAAATAGCTATGATGAGGGGCGCCTGGGTGGCTCAGTGGGCTAAAGCCTCTGCCTTTGGCTCAGGTCATGATCCCGGGGTCTGGGATGGAGCCCCGCGTCGGGCTCTCTGCTCAGCAGGGAGCCTGCTTCCCTTCCTCTCTCTCTCTGCCTGCCTCTCTGCCTACTTGTGATCTCTGTCTGCCAAATAAATAAATAAAATCTTTAAAAAAAAAAAAATAGCTATGATGAGATTTCTACTGCACGAACATCTGTGTGGGCCAGCTTCTCATCATAACCTGGGAAGAAGGGAGTACTCTATCCATTCTGTAAACAAGAGAACTGAGATTCAGAAAGGTGAAATGACTTGGCCAAGATTACATGGCTAGGTAGAGGCAGAGCCAAGATTTACTGTTAGGCTGAAGTTCAGAGCCCATGAAAGTTTTTTAAACAAAAATCCATTTTTTTTAAACTACAGAGAAGTATAAAGAAGAAAACAATAAATGCTCAATCCCCAATTATCTTACTGCTAGCAAACCTTGTTGATACTAAACAAAAACTTTTATAAGTATATATAATTTCAAGATAAGAACAACACGAAAAGGAGAAGCATCCTTCCATTTGTCTTCCCAAAGATAACCACTATTAAGTTTCCCATGGTTCCTTCTGGAAATTTTTGCATACATAGAGCAGTGTTTATGGGCACCTGAACAAATAGCCTTTTAAAAAAAAAGCACTCAAGGGACCATATCCTTTATACTCCTTCTGCACTTTGCATTTTCCCTAATAAAACATCTGCGTGTATCCTTTCTCCTCTTGCTCTGCATGCACCCAGCTCTGCAGCCTGCCTTGTCTCCTTCCCTGCTACTCTGTGCATGGGTGGTGAAGGTAGCTCCTATTCCCCTGGGACCTCACCTTGGTGCCCACCCCGGGCAAGGTGCAGAGGGCCTTGTGGGTTTCCTCGTAGGGGACCTTGCGCAGCTGCTGCAGCCAGGGCAGCCCGCCCTGTTCTTCTAGGATGGCTCGGGCACTGGCACTCACATAGCGGGCACGGTACCCCAGGCCCAGCGTCCTGAGCTGCACCTCTACCTCTGGCCCTGTTGGGAGTTGGGGAGAGTAGGGGTCAGGCATCTTCAAATACTTCCTGTCTTCAACCTACTGTGTGAGCTCTCTGCCCCAGAGGAATGCTTTCCCTAAGCACCTCTCTCCCACCTCATCACCCTTTGGGAGACCCCAGGGCACTTGCTTATACAAAGGTAAGGGTTAAAGCCTGGGTTCTGCCCCTCTACAAATGTTTTCTGAGCACCTACTACCCAGTGTTGGGCACTGAAACAGGGACTGAGAAGGACTTGCTGCTGTGGAGGAACTCCCTAGGTGAGTTCTTTAACCTTTCCAAAGTGCACTCATACCGATGATCTCAAATAATAACCATAATAATAATAGCTTCTATTATCAAGTGCTGGGCATCAGGTGCAGGCAAAGTGCTTTAGGTACTTTATCATGCTTTTCTCAAGGATTCTGATGACAGTACTCTTATTTAGATAATAACTGGCTCAAGAAAGGACATGCTGGAAATGGGATCTTGCACCCAGGTCTGGGAAACCAAATCCCGTGCTCTTAGACCATTAGATCACCCTGCCTCATGACTGCTTTATTCACCACTGAAACCCTTCTGGATAGAAACTCTTATTCCCATCCTACAAACAAGAGAAGCTTGGATAGATAAATGGATGATTTTGGTCTTATGACTACTAAACTGGAAACTGAGACCTGAGACAAAATTGCTGGGTTCGCTGTAGAGATGGGAACTTAGATTTTCTGCACAATTCCTGTATGTCAAATACTGACCTAGGGGCAGTATGTGTATTTCTCTACTTCACTCTTGTGGCAACTCTGATAGGTAGGTGCCATTATTATCCTGTTCCACAGATGAAAACACTGACATGGAAAGACTGAATAATGCACTCAAGGTCATACAGCTAGACATCAAGTGCCAAAGGCAGAATTCAGACCTAGGCAGTCTGTCTCCACAATGAGTGCTCTTAATGCCAAAGTACTGTATACTACATATAGGTGTGGGGGTTGTTTTTTGGGTTTTTTTGATAAAGCATTGAACGCCTGGGGTACGAAGCAAAGACTAGTGAGGTGTTGACATTTCAGGGACTGACGGGAAGGATTTGGTGGAGTGGATCAGACTAGGCAAGGTGGTTCTGAAAGAGAACAGTGTTTGAGAAGGCAGAAAGCTTTGAGATGGAAGATGGCGTCCAGGGGAGAACTGAAGAGACCCTGAAAGCTATTGGAGGGTCTGAGGGCAGGGACCCATCTACTCACCAGCCAGGGCCTGCAGGCTAGGGAAGCCATGGTAGGTGACATCATCAAGCTGGATGAGCCGAGGTCCAAAGGCCTCGCAGAGTCGTTCTACCATGCCAGTTATGCGAGCAATGTTGTTGTTGGAGGAACAGATGAAGGAGAAAAGGCACTCGATGGGATCCTGTTGCAGGAGTCGCACACCTTTGGAAAGGTAGGGAATAGGATACAGACCTGCTGTCAGGAGTGGCCTCTTCCTACCCTTGGATCTTAGGCACCAAAGATCTAGAAGGATCCCAGGGGAATGAGGGACAGCATTGTTAGAGAGAGCAACACCAGAGCTCTCATTCCTCACAGCATCTGTGAGGTCTGGACTAACATTACATTCCACAGATATAGAAGCCACAATGTAAACACTATGAGGATGGGGATTTGCGTCTGTTTTGTTCACTGCTATATCCCCAGTCACATAGCAGATGCTATGTAAATATTTACAGAATGAATGATGTCACCTGCCCCAGGTCACACAGCCAGGATTTGGCTCAATATCCTTGTCACTACACTGTGATAAGCAGCAGAACAATAATAGTAATAATAATTACTATGTGTCAGGCACTATTGTAAGCAAAGCTTTACACATATTAGCTCTTTTAATCCTTGTAAAATTCTATGAGGTGGATATAATCCCCATTTTACAGATGGTGAAACTGTAATTTAACCAAATTACAAGAACTCCAACACTGAACTCACCTTGGAATTTCTGAGCCACCTCTTCAAAGTGGGGGTCCACGGAACTCCAATGGTGATAAAGTTGAGCCAGGCTGACATCCAGCTGGAAGTACTCATACACAGTCTTTAGCTCTTCTGGGGTGGGCCTGCCAACCCATCCCTTGTCGCCTCGGTACACAGTACAGTAGAGCTGCTCCTCAGTCTGAGTCAGTGTCCATACCTGGTTCGCCAGCACGCCAGTCCAATGCGCGGGGTTTTGTTCCCTCCACCTGAGTCCCCAGGCACACAGCAGCCCCGGTACTCAATTTTCCTTCTTGCACCCTTTGGGGGCCCTCCCATTCTACAAAAGCTTCGTACACGAAACTGACTTAGGAAATGCAGAGTCATTTGATCGTCACAACACTGCACTGGCTTTTTTTTTTTTTAGGCTCCATGTTCAGCGTGGAGGCCAGCGCGGGTTTGAACTCATGTTCCTGAGATCAAGAACTGAGCAGAAATCAAGAGTCGGATACTTAACCGACGCGGCCACCCAGGTGCCCCTGCACTGGTTTTATTTGTTTCTGTTTTTTGTTTTTTTTTAAGATTTTATTTATTTATTTGACAGAGATCACAATTAGGCAGCGAGGCAGAGAGAGAGAGGAAGGGAAGCAGGTTTCCTGCTGAGCAGATAGCCCGATGCGGGGCTCGATCCCAGGACCCCGGGATCATGACCTGAGCTGAAGGCAGAGGCTTTAACCCACTGAGCCACCCAGGCGCCCCCCTGCACTGGTTTTTTACCTCCACTTTAGAAAGGAGGTAAACAGGCTCACCACCCGTGCCTCAGTTTCCTCTTTTGTACCCTGAGGTTTCTTCCATCACCCCCAACATTCCTTTACACTCCAGACCTGCAGGAGTCACTCACCGGAAAGACTGTCCAGAAGCCAGAACTAGGTCCAGGCGCAGCTCGGAGCGTGGACAGGGGATGGAGGCCCACAGTGCCGGGAAAGAAGCTAGAGTTCGATGCCCCATGCTGCATAGCATAAGTGAGCGAGCTAACAATTCCACGCCGGTCTCCCCCTCACAATTGCCCCGCCCACTTGGTACCAGCTCTCCCGCGGCTAAAAGACCGTGCCCACACCAGCTACAAGCTCCTTAAGACCTCGCCCACGATGCCCTGCTCCCAAGTTTACTTAAGGCCCGCCCAGTTTCTTTTAATTCCTCCACTCCCCGCAGGCCCCGCCCCTTACGGTCCGCCAGGGACTCCCAACCCTCCGCCCTTCCAACTTACGTATCCTCCCGGGCCCCCGCCTCCTGGCGCGCACCAAGGTCCTCCAGGCAGCCCCGACACATTGGGAAGCGCGCGCAAAAGCACTCTTCCGGCTTCTCCGGAGGCTGACCTCACTCTCCCAGGAAGTAGGACTCAGGCCTGGTTTATTGGATCCGAAGGTAGCCAATCCGCGGAGAAGAGGTGCCAATGAGAACAGGGTGTGGTGGCGGGTGGGCGGGCCCTTCCGAGGCGCCGCAGCGGTTGGCGCGAGCTGGGCTCGCTGCCCGCTTTCCGCCTTTGCTCTGTGGATGTCTGCGCTCCGCACGCCAGGGTGTCCAATCTCCGTGTCCCGCGGACCGGTCGCAGAATGAGCCCTCGGGCCCCATCCTCATGGCCAGATCTCCTCAGAGCCCCGTGGTTTCTCAGGCTTGCCCGCCCGCAGAGCCAAATCCTGTCCCTCACCGTCCTCAGAAAGCCTTTCTCCACCGAGCCTCTCCAGATATTCGCTCTCTTGACCGAGAATCGACCCGAACACAGCTCGGGCCCCTGCGAGGCCCCGTGAGGCGTCTCCACAGCGTCTGTCGCCTGCGGATTCTGTCTTCGCACTCGCCGTCTGGGCCGCTCCACTCCAAGAGGCCTTACGGAGCCTCGACTCCGCAGGCCTCCCCACAGACTTCACTCCGTCAGAGGCCGGGCTCCTCGGACTGCCGCGCCCCCGCCGCAGCCGGCCGGCGGCGCCTCCCAGCTGCTCCCTTCAGTCTCGGGGCATTCCTTCAAGCAGCACGCCATCATCTCACACCCGTGCCCAGTGGGGCCTGTGGCCCTCAGGTGGCCTGTCTGCCTCGCCCAGTTTCCAGGGCTGGCTGCCTGGGCCAAGGAAAGTTTTAAGTCATTTCTTCCTTGCAGAGGAAGACCTGACTGAGCAAGGAACTAGAAGGAACTTTAATCTGGGCCACTTTTCATCTTGTAGCGCAGTGATTGGGAGTTACTTTGTCTGAGTGAATAGACTGCAGATTCCTCAAGGGCAAGATCTGAAGCTGACTTCTTTGTGTCCCACCCACAGTACCTAGTAGGGAGCACCAGAAGCATGGTTATCATCAAATGGTATTGTCTGCTCCACTCAACAGGTGCAGCGCCCTTGGGCAACTACGGCCTGTGCCTGTCTCCTCTAGGCAGTCCAGCCCACAGGTGCCTAGCACTTGGAAGGCATTCCTTCAATAACTGTTTGAATCTGTAAAGGGGGTGCCAAGGTTGAGAATGAGTGAAGAACAATCCTCTACAGGACTGCTCTGGGTGAAGGTCACAGATGAAGTGACTCTGAAACATTTGGGACTATTGTATGGCAAAAGACTTGAAGCATCTGAAGTTCATGAAGGGATGGGCAGTATAGACTCTTCCTCCAACAGTTCATACTGGTTAAAGAGCCAGCTTGGCAGACAAATAACCTGAGTTCAAATTCTAGCTCTGCGTCTTCCTAGTTGTGGAAATTTAGGCAAGTTACTTAGTTTTTCTTAACCTTAGTGTCTTTGTGGAGATAAACACCCTATTATTAACTTGCCCCAGAGTTACTGCAAAGATTACATGAAATTATGTATCTAAAAATGCTTAGAACAAGGCCTGCCACTCAGTTAAGTGCCTCAGAAATGGGAGCTGTTATATTCTCTCTGTTGTTGTCTTACAAATGCAGCAGGCACAGCAACCAGGAACCTCTTGAGCCCATTATTTACCATCCCTGGGGGACGGAGCTTCCCTTTTTATCCCTCTCCCTGGCAGGAGGTAAGAACCCAAGAATTCCAAACAGATCATTTATTTTCTAAGAATCAATATATTTTCTTCCTTTGAAATAAATACAAACCAGTTTGAAAGGTGGGGGAATCTATGGGAAAAAGGGAAGTGGGGACAGGCCCCAGTCTTTTTTAGTACCAAATGACTCTGGCGCGACCCGGAAACGCAGTTACAAATGAGAATAATTTAAATTCTCCGCTAATTACAGTATTTACAACAGCAGGGGAGGGGGTCACCTAGTGCCCCTCTTCCGGGCTGGACAGACATCAATCCCACTGCTAGGCTGGGCAGATGCCCGCTCACCTCACCACCTGCGGGGGGGCCTCAGGCCACTAGGCAGTTACAGATTCTCCTGGAACAAGCAGAGCAGGCAGAGGTGGTGGGATGGCCTGTTTTATGCAGTGTCCTAACCTTGGCCCACCATCCTGCACTACACTGCTGTGAGGTCTCTGGAGCGTTCTGGCCAGTGGGACCTCCCCTCTCCTTGTACAGAGCCACCATGGGCCCTTGGGAGTGTTCTGTACAGTCCAGCTGCACTCAGGGCGGGAGGGACCTCCCCCACCCAGCTTCCCCTGAGACTGGCCCCAAGACCAGGAATGAGTCAGTGCAGAGGCCGGTGCCACTCCAGGACAGTGAGCAAAGGGGGAGGAGAGAGGTGGCAGGGCACTGTAGGTTGGGCTGTGCTGGGCATTATCAGTCACTATCACTGGTCTCACTGCTCTGCTCGCCCTGCACCTTGCTGCGGTGCTGCAGAGCCCTGTGGTAGGCAATCTGCACTGACTTGCGGATGTTGGATTTGCGGCCCTCCAGCATCTTTTCCTTGTCGAGGTCCTGGTTCACGCCCAGAGGAACCAGCTTAGTTCTTGGCAGCCACTGCCTGTAGGACGAGGTGAGGGTCACATAAGTCATCTCTGGGAAAGCGACAAGCAGCAGCCTTCATCACACACTCATTCAAAAACACCTCTTGAGTGCCCACTCTGAGCCAGGCTCTGGTGGACAATAGGGTTACTGAGACTAAGAGAAATAATCCCTGCTCTCAAGGAATGGCTCATAATCTAGTGATGAAAAGAGTCCAGTCAAAAGACCTACTACGGGGTAACAACAGGGTATTTCTGAGTGCAAAACAGGCAGAGCCATAACCTAACCTGAAATAGGTACCCTGTCCCATAGAATCCTGGCAGACTTGACTGACATTAAATTTATCCTCTGCAGACAATGCACAAAAACATTACCCACATGTGACAGAACAGAGACTCAGGCGTGAACATTCATGCCTGTTTTATCTCCATCTTGTCACCATGAAGGCAGAGGTGGGAAAACGAAGTCTAGAAGCCACCTAAATCTGGGTGGGGAGCACACTTGTCACAGTCACTTAATGGCCCTTTGAGGTCTAGCTACAGCTGGTTGTCAGCCTCTGCCCACTCAGACTCATGGTCAACACAACCCTTCTGCTCAAAGATCTAAGTCCCTCCCCCTCTGATTTGTGATAGCCCAGTCTGTCTGTTGCTAGAATTTCCTGGCAGCCTGCCCCTATACCCAGGGTTGCATCTGTGGCTGTGAGTCACACCAGATGCTTCCCTCCTCCCTTACCAGGTTCGCTTGTTGTCAAAGAAGAGGACGAGGTAGAGATGCTCTCGGGCTTCCTGGGTCATCTGCTCCCCAAGTTTCAGCACCTCCAGTGGGGGCACAGGGATGGGAACCCCATGGTGGAACATACCTTCCCGGGGCATCTTTGGATCAATTATCTGAGGGTGTAATAAGACCTTTGTTTGGTTCAGTCCCCTTCTTCTGCACAGCTTACACTACCTAAGAATTGGGAGCTATCTCTGAAGTGGGGACAGGAAAAGGTTATTATGCCACAAGGCTGCAATGCTGACCCTTGGCTGCTTCTAATGATGAACTATTTGAGACCCCAGGGTGCAATGGGAAGGAAAAAGGAGACATGGAACAACTAACCAGGAACCTCTTAAGTGTCTATCTGCCAAAGACCCTTGTTTTCTGCAGTACAAACTGTGTCTGCCAGCTGGTGTTGGGAGACAAGGGGTATGATAAGAAAAGGGGAAGCCTACCAGAGCTGGGTATGATGGGTACCCTCGGCATTTGGCCCACACCAGGTCCAGAGCATCCAGGGGCGAGTCCTCATCCTCTGACAGCCAGCCAGCTCCCCGTCCCAGACTCTTCCTTACCACTTCACAGGAATGGGAGAGAGGAGGCGGATCAGCAGCCAGGGGGTTGGCAAGGCCCTGACACTGGGCCCCCGGCATCCCTGGCCTTGGGTAAGGGTACTTACTGCTGTGGCCCACGCCGCGGCCAGTGCCCACGGAGTAGGCCTCATTCTCAGTGCCTGAGGTATCTTCACTGCTATCTTCTGGGAATGTGCCCCGAGAGAAGGAGGGCTTGCCCCGGCCTTGTTTTGAGGGTGTTGTGCTATGGATAAGAAAATAAGAACTCAGCTTAAAGGAGGGGAAGAGTAGATAATGGCATGGTAGACGTCCTCTCTTTAAAGTGGGCCCCAGGGTCTAAGAATTATTGAAAGCTGAGGTCACTTAAAAAATTTCAAACCCAAATGCTTCAGGGGGTTGGCAGTGACATAACGGACATGGGCTGGATTTAGCAGTGGTAGTGATGAATACACCCCGTCTAAAAGGAAGCACTGGCTAGATTTACCAGATCTGATTTTTAAAGAGAATACAGACACTAGAAATTTTACGTGGTAGTACTAGATTCATTTTTTTAAAAACACCATGCTGGTCGAACAAAATATGTATGCAGGCCAAATCCAGGCCCCAAGGCATCAGTTTATACTCTGCTCTATGTCAGCTTAACCCAGGATGGTTCCCACTATTCCATTATGGTGACATTCTTATATATGCCATTTATTTTGCAGAGAACCTTGGGTCTGAGCCATCTTAATCTAAGCTGAGGTGGCTGCCACCCCACTTCCCATAGGGAAACCTGGAAGGGGATCCTGGAGACAGGCCTTGATCTGGAGGGCTGGTACCTGGTTCGGTCGGAGGCAGCGCTGCTGCTGCTACTGCTGCTGGACTCGGAGTCAGAGCTGCTCCGGGGAAGGCTGCAGTCATTACGATATACCAAGAAACTCTTCTTCACTGGCTGATTTCCACCACTGAAGCCATTGGCTGGTAAGTCTTGGTTGGCGGGAGGGGGAGGAGGGAAGGAATCGGTCAGGAAGATGTAGATCAGAGATGGCATGGGGGTAAGGGGCACTAGGAGCTTAGCTTTCCCTTCTGTGCTAGAATATTCCTCCAACTATGGTCAACAGAGCCAGCTCTGGGCAGTGTCTGCCACAGTTGGCCATAGTCCTGCCCCACCCCTTGTACTTCCCTTGGCAGTTACTGGCCTTAAGACACAAATGGCTTAAAGGGCAGGAAATCCCCAAGGAGGGGGAGAAGAGAA